CACACACACACACACACACAAACACACACACACACACACACACTTTCAGCATGGTACATTCATGCATTCAGCACACACTTTCATCCCAACAGACTCAAGGCTTCTCACTAGCTGATTTCCAGTCCAGAGCCTCATTTACATTATCGCTGGAGATGCAGATGGATCATTTACAGTCAAACACTTACATTCTGTCTGTGCGACCCGTGCTCGTGATCAGTGAGCTTCTGAAGAACTCAGCCGATCCAAACAGTTCAAGTCAACAGAGGCAACAGTACATGAGTGTGTGTGAGCAGTTGTTTTACTGGGTGAGTGTGTGAAGTGAAGCATACAGCAAACACACATCACACACACACACACACACACTCAATGACATCCTGATTCAGTTCATGATGACAGGGAACGTTTGCTCCTGTTCTTATTTCACCAGCTTCACGTGAGCAAGCTCAGAAGCAGTTGTTTACTCTGTGACACCGTTTGATTTTCCACACCAATCCAGCTGTTTAAATCAGCTAGTGCAACACCACCCTTACCCTGCATTTACAGAACAGATTTTCCTGAGAATAAAATCCATGGTGTTATTGATGCTAGCGCCACGCTCTAGCGTTGAAGCAGCTTCCAGCAGATGAGACAGATGTGTGAAGTTTCCATGAAGCTACAAAGACACATGAAACGTGAGTTCCCACTGCAGGCCTGACGATTAGAAGATTGTGACCAGTACCTTTAGTTTGGTCAGCGTGTGCATGTCTGCGATGAAGTCCAGCAGCTCGCTCAGATACTGCCGCAAGCACTCCATCGCTGCTGTGGTGCACTGAGGGGACAGAACAGCTGTGACGTCTACAGTCAACACTAACGAGCAGACACATCAGTACTGCAGCAGACGAGTCTCACCCCGGGCAGAGCGGAGATCATGTGCTTCTGGAGGATGGTGGACTCGGCCAGCCTGGTCCCGATGTCTGTGCACACAAACTGAGACGACAGACGAGACGATATCAATCTCTCAGACGGATCCTGAGCGGTCTAATTCATCATCCCTCAACTACACACCAGTCTTTGATTGTTTTTACATTAAATGTGACCAGTCACAGAAGCTGTCTGACATATCAGTAGTACTAGCAATAGAAAACTAGTTATGCATCCACGTGTGTTTGCTCCACCCTCCCTTATTGTGAGACGCAGATTCACAGATGCATTACCTGCACCAGCAGCAGCAGGTTCGTATCAGGAATCGATGACTTGAACTTCAGAGCCTGAAGCAACTCCAGAACAACCACACGAGACATGTAGAACTTGTCCCTCTCCTGCATGGAAGAGGAGGAAAGCAGATTATTTCTCCTGTACGACCGCTCGTTTTGCTGCTTGATATTGTAAGTGTCTTGCCATATTATTTTAGTGTATTATCTTAATTATGAACACACTGATTTTACAAACAGTTTACTGCACTTTGTAATTCTTCTGGTTATGTCCCTAATGAAGCAGAAGTCTTGCCCATAAGTTTACTTCTGTGTTTAAGAAGAAGGCCATTTTCAAAGATGTGCATGTTTGTTACAAGATACAGACACACTCCTGCGTGCTGTAATCTCTGGTTTGACAATCTGACGATATCTAGATCCTCTATCAACAGCCAAACTCCATAAAACATGATCTTGTGTTTAAGTATTTCTGACGGCACGCAAAAACGAACATGTGTAATCCGATTCATTCATGCATTTTTTAAAGTTTTGCTAAAATGTTTTAGTTTGGTAAACCCTCTGCTCTACGAAACACATTATTACATATTAAACACATTAAAACAATGTTTTGTCTTCTATTTTACCAAACAAAGCATTGCTTCACAACATGTAGACATAATTTCTTAAGGAAAAGGATAAAAAGAGTAATATGAACGTTTGAAGTGTTCTCTTTCCTCCTGATGATGCTTATGAAATTATCATTAATTTAGTGAATATTCTTTCAGCATTTAGCAAACTGGGTTAATAAATGTCATTTTTTAAAAACAAGAAACTAAAATCTTGGCAGCAACATGCAGAGGGCAGAAACCCATGCCAGGTGTTCTGATTCTCTCTGCTGGAATAAACACGGATGTACAGAGCTGTTCACCTTGCTGAAGGTTTTGTAGCATAAACCGCAGAGCTCTACGAGATACGAGAGACTGAACACACCGTACTGGAGAACGAAACTCAGGAGTTTGGAGAAGGGCTCCAGCAGACTCTGTCAGAAAGACACCAGACAAGCAGTGCACTTCATCAGCCCCAGCAGAACATTTAAAACAGCACACTTCTGATATTCTCATTATCCCATTATTCATGTCATAAGATATTTTCATATCATCTGAAGGGAAATTAAATGACCAGCAGAGCCGAAGAAATGAATGAACTTACTCTTGTTGCATTTGTTACAGGAATTTTCAGCAAGCAAATGATAATTCTCAGACTCGAGTCCAGCGGACACTTCAGAAAAGAGAAGAAACAGGAGGAACTCTTAAGAGGAGAATACTGCGAGCATTTATTCTGATTCCTCTGGCGTTACAGAGCACAGAAAGGCTGAACTGGTACCTTGAGCGGCAGAACAGCAGGTAGTTTGGTTAGAAATGTGTGGAACTGGTTCGAGATGGTTGTCCACAGGTTGCTGGGTGAGTCCATGGGAAGCGTCTCCATGAAGGTGGCGATGTTGTCCAGACAGTGCAGAATAGTGCCTCCTGCTGGCAGAGTCTTCTTATTGTTCAGACCCTACCACCACACCATCAGCTTTACTACACGCACCGCATGTGTGCTTTATAGTGACCACAGCCACAAACTCACGGTTACAGCTTCTACACATACTATTAGCATAAAGCAGAGGGTCAGAATTACCAAGTAAACCTTTATTATACTGCACATATTGTAGTAGTTCAACAAGCTGCTTCTGGAAACTATTCAGGAATAGTTGATGCAACAATTACAATTTCCTTAAAAAGTGCTCATCCCCAGGCATGTCAAGATATAGAGGAGTTTGTTTCTTCATGTGAACAGATTTGGAGAAATTTAGCATTGAGATATTTTTAACTTCAAATTGTTATTTCCGGCTAAAATATGAGTCCATAATAACGTTTCCTCAGTGAAAAAGTGCATCTGCTGTTGTCTCTCACATCAAAATCCAGCCACATATTAGTTTAGAGCTGTTTAAACGCTGCTTGATCTGTGCAGATTTCTCTCCTGATTCAGACCAGAACACTTTTTCACTGGAGGAAGAGTTATTATGGATTATGGACTCGGATTTTAGTTAAAAACGTCTTAATGCTGGATTTGTCTCAGCTTTTGTCTTCTCCAGATGTTAACTGATGGACTGGAGTGCTGTGGATTACTTGTGGATTATTGTGATGTTTTTATCAGCTGTTTGGACTCTCATTCTGACGGCACCCATTCACTGCAGAGCATCCATTGCTGAGACACTGATGCAGTGCTACATTTCTACAAACCTGATGAAGAAACAAACTCATCCTGATCTCGGATGATCTTAGGGTGAGCACATTTTCAGCAAATGTTCATTTTTAAGTGAACTATTCCTTACAGCAATAATTGTTCAAAAACATGAAATCCTCCTGTAAGATTTGACATTTAGGGCAGCACAAAAGGTCAAATACTTTAAATAAAGCTTTCCACACTTCACTGTCACAAGAGTGTCCTCTGCTGGAAGACACATGTCAGAGCATCGTGACCTGCTTGTTTCAGAGACAGGTGTGTCAGTAGTGCGGCTGATGAACAGACGTACCTCCAGGAGCTGACTGAGCGCTGCCACCGAGCTCAGCTCATTGAAATCAATCAGAGACAGGGCCAGCGTCCTCAGGAAGCTTCCATCTGAAAGAGAACAGAGCCGGTGAAGTGTTTGTGCTGTGTGTGTGTGTGCGACTGTGCTCTGAGGTGCTTCTCCAGACCTTTAATGTTGCTCTGGAACAGTTGTGGTAGGATGCCGTTGGGTGCGAGCTGATGGAGAACGCAGCGGAGGAACTGCTTGGCTACACCAGCCACATTCCCAGGAATCAGCACGCTGCACACACGGGACAATAACACTCAGACTTACACAACTCAAAGTGTGCATTACACAAGCGTAAACGCAGAACTCACCTTTCAGCTTGACCTGTGAAATTGGAGCTAGAGGCCAACCTGCAGAATAAAAGCAACGAAGTGAAAGAAAGCCATAGTGATTATACTGCTGTAGTGTGTTGAAGAGAGCTGTACCTGCCCACAGACTGCATGATCTCCAGCAGCAGCGGAGCGGCCAGATCAGGACTCAGATGGATGAACATGGACAGAACCACCACAGCCAGAGCCAGAGTCTCCTCATCATACTCCTCCAGCACAGCCCCGCAGTCACGACACCTGATCAGTTCACACAGAGCTGTGATCTTCTGCACTTCTTCACACTGAAACACTGACGGTCAGACCCACCTGTCGGCCATCGTAGTGGGCTGCTCGTCGCTGAAGTCTTCTGGCGCGGGAACGAACATGCTGACGGTGCTGGGGGCCGACAGCAGACTGGTCTTCACTGGACCTGCAGAGAAAAACACAAAGCATCTTGAGGCACAAACTCAAGTACTGCACGATACAATGGGGAAAAATGTGCTTTTCACTACACACACACACACACACACACACACACACACTCACACACACACACACACATAGGGTCAAAGGCATAAAGAGCTAAAGTAGTATGCTCTGAATAATATCTAAGTTAATATTAGTTCAAAATAATCAATCACTTCAGCAAAGTTTGTACTGTTTTTTTTGTTTTGATAAATAAACATTTATTTTTGTTCAACAAATATACTGTCATTAAAATATGTTCATTTTAAAAATACAGAAACGAAATTATTTTTAAAAAGTAAAGATTCTGAAAGCATTGAAGCACATCCCATAATAAATTAATATAGCTTTACAGTAGTAACAATAAATGTGATCTTTTAGTATATGATATGACTAATAAATATGATGGTTTCATTATAAATATGGTGATTATCTCTAAGATGCACATTATATTTAGCATCTGAATATAACCATGTCATGTCAATAAATGGAAAAGTCAGTCAGCTATTTATTATCATACTAATTATTGTGCCTTTAGCACCAACAGCATACTTTTACATATTCTTCTGTAATTGAAAAACTGCTGATTTGGTTACCTTGAACAAAACTGAAAAACATCTTTGCCTTGAAATATATTCAATAATTTTATAAATTCTAATTGGCTAAACATTAAATATTAGATCAAATAAACGCAGAATCAACTTTGCATTGCTGTCCATGATTTCCACCTGCACAGTCAAACGTGGTTATTAACAGTGCTGAGGTGGATTTATAGAATAAAGTGAAAAGTGCAGCTTTAGCCCCGCTGAGCCCCAGCATCACACCGGAGGGCTGGGTAATGTATGATCAGAGAGCGAGGAAAGAGCTAATAAATGCTGAAGACTGACCCGTGTCCCAGGTGTTGATGTTCTGTGGTGCGCTGGACTGATGCTCCAGCTGCCGCTTCATTAACTGACTCATCGTCACTGCACCCAGCGAGCCTCGCTTCACCTGACGATACTGAGCTGAGGACAGAGAAAACACCTCAGCAGGCTCTCAGAGACCAGCACTGTTCACACTAGAGCTCAATGCACAGATGAATATGAGCATTAATGTGTAGATGATTTACTGGACACTGAGGAGCGATGGCTGGTTTCAGGAACGGTGGCCTCCAGGGCCGGAGCGGAGGCCGATTCTCTGGGCTTCTCCAGGCTCGACAGAGATTTGGCATCTGTACAACAACACAGGCGACTGAACTCAGTGTGTAACCACTGCATAACATTAGAACATTTGTTAAAGTTAATGCAATTCTCCTGCATCATTGTTAGGACAATAATTAGTAGGTTGAATGTACTTTAATTGTCATCTGCATGACCTACATTAATGTCTTTAAACCATGAAAGTTTGTCTCACTGTTAACCTGCTGAAGGTCTTGCTATTGAAATGAATTTATACTGTAAGCAGTCTGTTTACACCTTAAACATTATGCTAGCTATAAATAACTTTGCAACTACATGTCAACTAAGTAAGATGTTAGGTGTGGATTAAATGTTTTTTAATGCACGATGTATAAATTGTTACCAGAGATTTATTATGAAATACTAACCAACAAAGGCATACTGTGAAACACATTGTAAATAAAGTATTCTATTAGTGAAAACACAGGAAGAAGACGCACAAAGCTGAAGGATGCTAATAAAGCAGGCTGACAGACCTGACTCTGCGGCCGGTTCTTTCATTTTGTCTACAGTGTTGAACGAGATGTCCAGATACTCCCTCTGGATGGCGCTGACGGCGATCTTCCTCTCTTTGCGCTGGCGTGGCACGATCTGGATCCTGAATTCAGCTTCATCGCTCTCATCGTCAGGTTTGTGGTCGCTGTCTCTCTCATCCGTCTCGTCGTTGTCCTCGTCTCCTGCTCCCTCCACGTTTAACGGATTCAGCGACTCGAGCTCGTCCGCAGGAATCTGGAGCACGACGGACCTGCTGGAGGGGCTCGTTCCGCCGCTATCCTCGGGCTGCGCGCAGGAATCATCCAGGGATGCGTTGGGCATGTGCGAGGTCTTTCTGAAGAGATCCCGTTTCTGTTTGAGGGTCATGGTGGCCTCCTGAGGAGCCGCAGGGGGCTGGAGCGTCTGGCTCTCGGGGCTGACCTGCAGGAGCACTCCGCCAGGGAGCTTGAGCGCCTCAAACAGGTCCTCGTTGCTCTCCACGATGCGCAGAGGAGGCAGCGGCTCGAACACCAGCGAGTCACTGTCGGAGAGTGAGAGAATGGAGTGCTTCTCGGGGATGGAGGTGCAGTCGGAGGACAGGTCTATGAGGTCCGGATCGTCCTTGTCAAGCGCAGGGGTGGCCAGCGGTGAGTCCAGACCGACGGGTTTATCTTCAAACGTCTCCATACAGCTTAGACGCACCTCGGGTATGATGGGCCGGATGCTGTCGTTCTGAGCGACGGAGCCTCTTCGGTCGGTGACGGAGTGGCCATTGGAGGAGTGTTTCCCGTGGTGCTGAGCTCTGTGCTGCTGTCGGCCGATAGAGGAGGAGGAGGAGGGCTCCTGCAGGTCGCAGCGCTCGATGCAGGACTTGCGTCGGTGCTCGTCCAGGTTGAAGAGGATGGAGTCGGTGTTGCTGATGTCCAGAGACTTCTGCTTGTGCATGGCTTGCAGCCTCTTCTTCTTGCTGTTGCTGTCCTCTCGGCCCGAGTACAGCAGCGTGTCCTGCAGCGCGCCGCTCTCCCTGTACTCGGCCAGCTCGATCTCACCTGTGCAGAACACAAGAGCAGGAGGTTAGGCGAGGAAAGCTTGGCAAGCGCACACTAGGTGTGTGCTATATACATCGTCTGCGATAATATCGTAATTGTTGTTTTGTGCGTTCTTTCACTGCATGATTCAGTCTATTACAATACATTTAGAATGATCACAAAATTCAAGACATGGGGGCAGAAAATTTACATATTTATACCACTTCATATAGGCTAGTTAATCAATTTCACACAAAGATTGCCGTTTTTTTCTCCAAAAATTACCATAATTACAAATGTGATATTGATTTTTTACAACAGTTCAATAAACAAGAAGTTAATTTAGACTAACGTTTTAGACACCATATTGCCTGTTTTTGCTTTATTTCACCAACAAAAATAATTCCAAACACAGCCACCACAGCACTGTTCTGCGTCTCTGAGCAACATAACAGTGTTTCGTTCCGTTTAAATGATTCGGATCAGTCGCAATGACTCACTTATTAACAGTGACTTGCTGCCACCTACTGGCGGTTTTACATTCAAAGTATTTCACATTCAAAGTATCTTTTTATTATTTAAATAATTTCAAATATCAGTATTCAATGTTTCATGTTTAATATATCAAAACATTATTTCTGCATTTGTAGCTGCAGGTTAAATGCATTCATGTCCTGCACTAAACAGTGTGTAAACACATCTAAACGCCTCTTCAGACGCAGCTTCTGTGTTTCCTCTGCATTGCAAAGATGAATTTTGTTGATACTGATTTTATTTGCTTGGTAACAGCCCAAAAGTCTTATTCTAATTCACTGATTAAATGTAAGAATTTGACATGAAAGATAACGCACACTTTTAGAAAAATGGCTTTATAAAGGATTAATTTCTATCAGTGTGAACTGACCACCACAAGAATATCAAAAACTTAAGAAGTCAGTTTAAGATACCAGCACAATAACACACTCAGCAAAATATCGTCGATAAAATCCCAGAAAGTATGGAGATATAATTTTTTGTCAGTATCGCAGGATATCCACACGGACACGCACTTCTCTGAGCGTTGAGCTCCACAGGCTGATATTTGACGGACTTGCTGCCTCCGATCCTCTTCAGACGGGCGAAGAAGGTCTGCGACTCCTTACTGCTCGCTCCCGTCGGAGTATCGTGGATGTCCGACTCGTCAAATACGCTGTCCTCCTCTACACAGGGAAACACAGGGCATTAAGCGACAGCACATCACTAACCGTTCCCGTGATGCCGAGCGCGATCTGTACCTTTCTCCTTCTCGCTGTAGCGGCTGGTGTTGGAGTTGTCGCTGTACAGCGGGCCTGTGGACACGTGCGACCTGCAGCTGTGGTACTGAGCGTTCAGCGTGTTGATGGTGATGTGGATCAGATGGAGCACCACCTCTTTACTCATGTCCATCTCTCTGTATGGATACTGAAACACAGCACGACACAGTGAAGAAGATGCCAAGATCCCTGAATATCTGATTAAGAAGACTACAGTTACTTGCAATGAGACTGTCTGTGGAACAAAAATGAACCACAACTTTTCTACTGAAGTGCAACACTGAACCAGTGTTTTTAGATGCTTTTAGAGGAATGAGATTCATGTTCTTTGTGCTATTCTTTTCACAAGAGAGATCACTGTTTGCTTTCAAGTAGAAGAGAAACTACTTTAGTAATAATAAATAGAAATCCACTGAAGAAAATTCCTGCTCCAATGATAGATTTATCTCTCTTCCAATAACTATTACTACATTGAACTCTAATGTGTGGTTTATTTACACTTGATGTATAGTCAGTGGCATAACTAGGATTGTACACGTCCCAGTGCAAAAACACTTGAAAACATGAAAACATGTTTTTAGTTTTCATAGCTTTGACCTGGACATCTTTTCACTAATACAATCCCTAAATGAATTTCTTAAAGCTGCAGTCCGTAACTTTTGGCGCTCTAGCGGTTATTAAACAGAGCTGTGTGCGTCTTGCATAAGAACATTGCAGCCGGAGCTACTTCTCTCTGTTTATGTCTCTGATGAATCCCGCAGGTACTGGGCTACTCCGCAGCGGTTCCACCAGAACCAGTCTGAAACAGTCCGAATATACACACTTATTATAGGTGTACCGTAGTGATTCAGGACAAGCCAAAAACATGGTTTGGACAATGGATTCATGGTGTATTCACACATAACAAAAAAGTTATGGACTGCAGCTTTAAAATAAAAGTGGTCAGTCTGTTTATTTATTCTGAAATTTCCCATTCGGTTTACAAAGCAGCATGCGGGATCTTGATAGGTTGAGTTTCAGTTGTTTTCCTTTTTTCTGTTTTTGTTCATTGTTATTACAGAAAAGGGGAATTTGCTAATGCTTCTATTGCACTTGCACATTTCACATTCCCAATAAATATATCTATTTAAAAAAGAGCTATATTTGGGATAAACGAATTCCCACTAACCCAAATATTAAGCTCAGT